ATCACCGCCCTGATGGCAATTGATATCTATACCGCCCCTCGCATGATTAAGAAGGGGCGCCTGGTGAGCTCCCCGCTCGAGCCAGGCATGTCGGTTGTTGGTGGCTCGCCTGGAGGAGTGGGCATGGCCACAGTCTGTTTGCATGGGCTGCTACACGCAGCGCACACTGCATCGCCACGCACTGACCTTTGCATCTTCATTGGTGATACGATATGCCACAATGAGGGTGTCAAGGCTACGGCAGCTGGTTCTATTGCGACGCCATGTGCGGATGCGAGGCTTCAGATCCATGACAAGACGCGCCTCGTTACGAGCGCCAGGGAGATTGGCGAGTCCCGCACGCCAAAGGTGCGCAGCTTTGGCATCCCTGTCAATTCCCAGTGCTGCTGTCTACTTGGGAGGTTATGCTGCTGGAGGGAAGACAAGGAGGCTTGGCAGGTGTCAGCGGTGCATGGCCAATGCTAAGCTACGCGGTGGCAAGATACACAAGCTAGGCGGTCTCCACGGCAGCCAGAAGGCAGCCAAAGGTGTGTGGCGGACAGGTTCGCACCCAGCTGCCACATACGGTCACCAGGTGCAGGGCGCATCCCCCTTCCACGATGCCCCAGCCACGACGACATGCAGAATGCGACAGTGCAGGCCGCAAGCGTGGACGGTGCTTGCAGATGGTGTTCCAAGCCACGTTGGGTGATGGTGACCTTTCGGTTCAGGTGGGGAGGCCTTTAGTCACGGAGTGGATACGCCTGTGGATAGCACAGCCAGGTGTGCAGCCCCGCATCAAGCGCATCTTGTCCAAGGTGCGAGCGAAGCTGGGCCCTGCCTTCGAGTGGCGCGTCATCAAGGGTCCTGCGCGGCCCCTCAAGCTACCCTCACCCAAGCTGAGTGGGAACCTTGTGCAACATACTGTTGGAGGCGGCGTGGACCACAGGGAGTCGAGGAATGGGCGTTCCCCTCAGTTGGCGATGGCAACTTCCAAAATACAGCACTTGGCGATTTTGAGGCGCTCTTCGTTACGTTCGGCTCCGAGTGTGCTCGTCTGGCTTGGAAAGCTGCAGCTCAACATCCTCACGGCGAGACCCTTGGACTGGACGCCGACCTACTAGTACAGTCTGGCTTGAACTCCGTCGCGGAGGTCTCCATGGACATCTGGGGTGCCACGCCCACGACCTTTGCTGGCGGACAGTGGCCACAGGACCCCAAGACCGAGGCGGGCTACGTCGGACCGATCCTGCCCCCGCTGCCCGTTGCTCAGGGTAACGCTGCGCCATCGCGCACGGGAGAGCGAGAAGCATTGCAACCACGATGTTTGCACTTGCACTGACGCCCTTCTTCTTGCAGCCCCTGCGGGCGCTGCTGCCGACCCCTCTCTGTGGCTCCGCGAGGCCCCTGCTAGTAGCCTCACGGCGCCCTGCTTCCTGAAGGGACATGGCTTTCCTGATCCCGTCTCCCTGGGGGCGGAGACCCTCCGCCGATATGAGTTTTTTTCCATCCGCGGCTCCAGAGGTCCCGACCCCTTCCCCGTGGGTGGCTCTTCGCCCCGGACCCCCTCTTGATGGTCCCCGGCGGCCCGATCACGGGCCCCAGGGGCCGAACTCCAGGATCAACGCCGGATTGGAAAAGTCAGATCCTCGGATTTCTGGGGACGTCCCTCGACCACACCTCTCCTCCTGGGGGTTCTGCACTGCGCCTGGGGCCGGGTCTGGAGGCAACTGCACGGCCGACCGCCGCAGGCGCAGATGCTGGCTGACCAAGAAAACGACCCTAACCGGGACCCTAACCCCTTTGGGGGGGAACCTAAGTTAGGAAGGGCTACAGACATTAGGGGCAGGGGCTCTTTGCTGCAGAGTCTCGAACCACACCGCGCAGACCTATGATCCCTACTTCGAAGAACAGGGACCTCAGCGAGGCCACGTCGTCACTGTGTTCTGAGGCTTAGGGGTTCCTTTATTCTGGATGAGATATGGACCCGCTGCTGTGGTAATGGAATGTCGCCTGTTTACGAGCTCCCCCAGGCCCCTGGTGGCTTCCAAGGTGCGGCCTCGCTGCCCCGCTTTCAGGATCGATCCAGGCGTTGTCACGAGAGGAGCTCCTGGCCTTGGCTTCAATGCACTCGCGAGGCTGCGACTGTAAGCCCACCGGAA